AAGCCAAGGTTTGAACCAAGGCTGATTGCTGTTAGTGCTAGTTCTGGGGCCACTTAGCAAGAAGTACAGGGTACAGAGAAGCCAGATGCTGCTTGTTTGAGGGATTTTATGAGACTCCAAAGCATGAAGCAAGAGAAGTCATTTGCGTGGAACGCCGCTGGAAATGGCTTGGGTTGGCTCACAAGATGGGTGGAGTGAGGTTTCAAGGAATCTCCAGGTCTGGGAGAACATGGTCAGCCAGGTTGACAGAGACTCAGATGTGGCTTCTGCCTCCCAGCTCTCTGTATGTATGGGGTGTCCCCTGCAAAAAAAAACAACAACAAAAAAACATGGCTTCTGCAAGCACTTTGTCTGGCAGAAAGCTGCCTCCCCACCTCTCACCATGAGGCCAGACAATTCAGTTCCTTCCTATACATCCCTGGGTTTTTTTCCAGCTGATGCTTCAGTGCTGAACTCAGAAGGAGTGAGTCCAAGCAAGATTGTGCACTGGCCCTTGAAGAAGGCCTGCCTGAAACTCCAGGAGTCCTCTATCTCTCTTGCCCATAATATCAACTTGTTTGCTGGTTTTTATAGCCACAAATTATGGAGACTTCTCTGTCAGTGGAACCCTGGGCTAAGAGGCCTGGTGTGGATCTGGGACACTTTGCTCTTCAGGGGGGATTTCCACAGCTGAGATCCCTCCTAATTTTTATCTGACACACATGGTTATGGGACTAGCCTGTTCTGCATTCCCTCCTTCCTACTAGTCTTGATGTGGCTTATTCTTTAAATTTCTTATTGTAGGATTTCCATTAAGCTACATTTTAGGTGGGTCTAAATGATGGTCGTTATGTAGTTTAGTTGTAATTTTGATGTGGTTGTGGGAGGGTTTGAGTACCACATTTACTTATGCTACCATCTTGACCAGTCATCTAATGCAATTTCATGTTAATGACAATGAATTTGTATTGTAATAAATCTGACCTGTTTAAAAGCACTTGGCTTCTCAGGCTCTGAAAGAGAGAAACAAATAATTAATTTCATTTGTAAGATAATATTGTTGAACATTAGGACCAAAAGAAGTTCAAGGGAGTTAGTGTATTGGCAGAAATAAAAGCTATTATGGAATCAAGCCAGATCTGGAGAAAGGTGAGGGAAGAAGCAGACTGACACATTAGAGCAGAATGGCGTTGGAGACAACACTGGAGAGGGTAACACCATCCGAGAGGCTAATTCTATGTCCATGTCTGAAAGAGATGAACCACTAAGGTACAAAGAGTATTTGTGGAGGATGGGAGTCCTTTAATAGGACAATTTTGAGTGAAATCATATCTGGGATATAAAACTGAAACTTGTAAACACAGACAACAGTATGGTGGTTACCAGAGGGTAGTGGGGTAGGGGAAGTAAAGGACAAAGGGGACCAAATATATGGTGACAGAAGATGATTTGAGTTTGGGTGGGGGGCACACAATGCAATGTATAGATGATGTATCATAGAAATCTACACTTGAAACCTACGTAGTCCTCTTAACCAATGTCACCCCAATAAATTAAGTAAAAAAGACAGTTTCGTGATGAGACATTTAAACATATGACAAAGACCAAGGTGTTCCCATGGGAGTGGCCGGCTGAGGCACAGTGCAGAAGTCACCTGGAGATGAGGAGGCAAAGGACTGAGTGGCCAGGTTGCAGGAGGTTTGTGAACATGGACACTGATGAGTCAGAAGGCTGTGAGTCATCATCTCTGGTGAATAAAGAGGATGCCTGGGAGGACCTAGGCAACACTGAGGGGAGGGTGTCCCCTATATTTTACAATATGAAAACAATTTCTCAGAGGCATTTGTAAATGACACACTTAGAGGTGTATTTGTTCCTTCAGCTGGAGTTCAGAGTCTCATGTATTCTGGAGGTGTGTGATGAGATCAACTGACTTCAGTTTTGTATGAGGACTTCCTGTTCAAACCTTAAATAACACATAGATGAGATACTTTTTTCCACTATTGTTTCACTCTGAGCCTCCACAGGGCAGTCTGTGAAGATAACAGATACTGTTAATTTTGGTCCTGAATTTATGTTTTTAAAGTTCTCTTTTTATTACCCATCTATATAGAAGGCCCCTTTCATGAGAGCCACCTGGCTTTCCCACTAAAGGATGCACGACTTTCTGGCTGACAGAAGGTATGTGTCACTGCTCTCCTGTCTCTCTACTAGCCCATCTCTTACAGTGGGAGAAATAAAAGCTACATGTGATGCAACTGAAGGTCAAATAAAAAAATAAAATCAAGTGGAACATTAGTGCTTTTATTTGAATAATTCAGAGTAAAAAGGAACCAAAAATACAAAATATGTTGAAAGATTTCTTAGAGTATTCAAATTATTGTCCATAAGAAATTAATCGAATGCATGCAAGCATGTGCAACTGGGTCTGTAAATCGAAATAATTTAAATTGGAACCCACAAACATCTTTGAAAAGAATAATTCATTTTGGATTTTTATAGTCAGCACAAGGTTGTTGCACTGCCCAGCAGCTATAGGGGAGCCACCATGGGGGAACACCACGGAGAGCTCAGCGCTCCCTGAAACCTGAGGGAAACTGGCTAGGGCCCGCTGAGATGGGAGCAGGGCTCTGAAACCCACAGAGCCCCTCCCAAGTTTGTCACGGATGAGGGGGATAAACACAAAACATCGCAAACACTTCTCTCTTTTCCAGGAGAGCAGACAGGGGCACTTCCCTCTTACTGGAGAAGGCCGTGGTACAGCGCCCTAGTGGGGAAGGCCCTGGCACATCCCCCTAGTGGGGAAGGATGTGGTTCATCCCCCTAGTGGGGAAGGCCCCGTCCCCCTTTGTTCTAAGGCTTTTATTGAAAAACTTATCAGTGGGCTAGGTAACAGGAATGTATACGTACACTCGTTGCATTAGCATGTTAAGTTTCACAGAGAAGAGATACTGTTAAGAAAACAAGTGACAGGAATTCACTGATTTACATGGGTCCAAGAGGAGACCAGTCTAAACAAAACAGAATGAAGACAAGAGCAAGCGCCTTAATGATAAACGGCAAGGCATGTAAATAATGTGAATGTCCTTTGCAGCATGAGCTGACCAGAGATCTGAGGGAGGAACATAGCACACTCTGAAGAATTTACTTTTAGGCCTGATTATCCTGGCAACCACCAGGTCTGATTTAGGGATGTTTTTCCTGCACTGTTTCAAGCCTGAGCCAGGGGGCAAGAGGGAACCACCAAGAGATAAAGAGACTGCTTCTCGGCTGCAACAAGGATTCTGGCCTTGTCCAAAACAAGCCGAGAGGTGTGGGGGTCTTTTTGCCCCTTAACTGTGTCCCCGAATTTCTTATCTGCTGCCCATATCGGTCAATGCCTGTCTTAGGTTGCCCCTCCCCCGCGAGGGGTCTTACCTGTCCTTGGCAGGGACCATCTCAAGGCAAACCAGAGAGACAGGGACTACTCCCCTGCCCAGGAGAACAGGTCAAGTCGCCTCAGAGGCCTGTTTTTCCAAGGCCTCCTGATTATTTTCAGCCTTGGGGCCCTCCAGCCTGTTGGCAGGGTTACAGCTCCTGAAACCAGGTTGGGCGTTTCCCATCACAAGGTGTGTTTTTTTGTATAGTAATATGTTAATTTATATTTTGTCCAATATTTTTAAATAGATGTTTAAAAAACAATTCATTGCATAATAAAGGCTAGATATAATTTCTTATACACTTACTTAGATTGAATAAAAGCAGCCTGATTTTTATTTAAAATCAGCATGAGAGTTTCTGTAAAATATTAAACTAAACTTATAAACAAAGTACTTTTAAAAATTTGAACAAACTTGGCCAAAAAGATCTACAATACTGATTAAAGAGGCTCCTGCTTATTCAATTATTTTACAGGACCTAACTGAATCAGGACTAATAACATGGAAATTGTGACCAAGTAATAACTGAGATAACGAACATTTTTTGAGAGTCTGTGTGCCAGGTGGAATTCTAAATATTACGTACAATATTTCTTCCATATTATTTTAGTTTAGATTAGTAAGGTAGGTTACTTAACACTAACTCTTTAAAAGTCACACATTGTAAGTTTCAAAGCCAGAATTAAATGCTGTTTCTCTGACTACAGAGTCCATTGACTGAATTACTAAATAATATTTGGTTTATTGTAATTGCTTAGACAACTAAAGTGATTTTCACTTACTGTGACAACAAAAGGACCTTTCTAAAAGTTTAAGCCAACAATATTCCTCCATAAATGACTCTTACTTAATCATCTTATGGATTCAAACAGATCCATTAAATCAATTATCAATTAGTTTTGTAAAATACTTATTTTTTAATGTTTTTTGTTCTTTTATTTTCATTATTTTTAAAAATTTGTTAACAGATAAGTTTAGTGTGTCATGTAACATTTTCTGACACATGAATATTCCTTTAAATTTTTACTTATTTTTCAGAATTTGTCATCCATTCAAAATAAAGAACTTTTTGGTAACTGCTTCAATAAATAAATGTAAGTCAATAAATAAATATAATTCAGTGCAGGAAATTAATATATATATATATGTCAGAACTAATATTTTCCATCATTAAAACACTCAATCTTTACTATTGGGTTTCAAAGTTTTCATAAATATTGTTTCTTTTTCCTAATAAAATATTTAATTTCTAAGAGACATTCTAATTGTGTCAAAATATTTCTGTGGAATCTACATTAATGAGGATATGATTGTCCTAGTACTTCTATATTCCTCATTAATTATGTATTTTTATTGCTCCAACAAATAACATATCAACAAATGTAGAGTGTATTTTAAAAATGTATTTTACCATGAGTCACTTGTTTAAACCTACAAGGAATTTAAAACCAGAACTTTAGTTTTCTCACCTGAGAAATGAACCAGGTACTCACGCTCTACCCCACCCAGTGTTATTGTGAGGCATCTCTTCAGTGCACGTACTATTTAATAATCAGTACACTTCACTCAGAGCACAGTCTCAGCCACCACTCAGCTGCAGAGATGAGTGACCAAAGAGTAACCTATGCAGAACTAAATCTGGTAAAGGACTCAAAGAGACAGCAAATGAAACCAAAGGGCACTAAAGGCTCCATTCCAGTAACTGAGCAGGAAATAACTTATGCAGAATTAAATCTTCAATACACGTCTCAGGATCTTCAAGGGAATGACAAAAATGACCACTGCAAAGGTAACACATTCAATAGACACAGTATAATTGTTTTAGGATATGAAGCTGGGGTGCAGAGATGTGGGAAAGAGTAGGGAATAAGCTCTAATATTTTTCATCTTAATGTTCAGAACTTGAAGTTGGAATATGGTATTGTAAGATGAAAGCTAGTAACTAATTTTATTCAGACCTTGTTGTTAGTTGTAGTCTTTGACCAGAAACTCATGGAGCGTTATATTTAATGAAAATGCAATGATACATTCTGAGAGGAAGATTAGAGTGGTAGATATGGATTTGGGGTCCAAGTTTATGTATGTGATTCTCTGTGTGTAAACTGTCCAAACACTTGTCTCCACCGCTCCTTCCTCAGTGTTTCCATCCCCCTCTCTGCAGCATCCCCGTCACCTCCAGAGAAGCTCATTGCTGGGATCCTAGGGGTCGTCTGCCTTGTCCTGATGTCCACTGTGGGAACAATAGCTGGTATTTCCTGTAAGTAAATTTTTTTAATATTATATGAAATTTTTCACTTTTATGTTCATCAGTGCCTCTAAATGCTTCATAATTATAGAATCTTATTTTAAATTATGCATGTCAACTAAATGAAGAATGGTTATTTTTAATTTGCTACATGCATGAATAACAATGATTATAGAGTATTTTACATATATCATATATTCTATTTCATAACTCAAACATATTTTTTCAAGGACTAGAAGCACTTCTTAGAAATACAAATTTATTTTGAGATTGGTTAATCAAAGTAATGTACGAGATAGTGAAATCTGCTCCTATAATATTTTACAATATTTTCCCTAAGTGTTTTTTAATCTATTAACTTTTCTTGGTAAAGTAAATTTTATTCCAGATTATTCTAATTCTGAGCAATACACCATATTTCAAAGTATTAAGATTTATTTAATTTTTAGGAATTACTTTAATTTTTTTTAGCTACTATGATACCAAAGCAGAACAGTTATTCCATGGCACCAAAGATCCAGAAAGGTACATAATTTTCAAAGTTCTAATACTTGCACAGTTTATATTTTGTACTTATCTTAGGCTAGGGGAAAATCATAACAAGTTCTTGAAGGTAACACAAATTATAAAATGGGTTATAAATGTTCAAAATAATAATTATAGAAGTGTTTTTTCTTATGCAACTATATAAAGGAATATTTATTGAAAATCACCAAACCCATTATTGCCAAGTAGCTGAAACTTCCCGCTGGTAAAATATGACAAGAGATAAGTTATTCTACTATTCTTAAGAAAGCGTTATATTGATTGACATTTAAACATGTGTCAAGCAGATATTTTGTTTGTGTATTTGCTTTATATGAGCACATAAATTAGGAGGTGAGAGGCTGACTCTTCTGTGTGTGTATATATGAACGTGCACAAGCCTGTAATGATGCACAGATATAGTATGTACATATATGTTTATACTTGTGCAATTATGTAAGTAAATTTCCATTTTTAATCTTCAAGTTGTTATTAGGTAAAAATTCATAACATTTCCTCAGCATATCCTTGTAGTCCTTGTCCACCAGAGTGGTTTACATATTCCAACAATTGCTACTACATTAGTACTGAAAAGAAAACATGGAATGATAGTTTGAAGGCCTGTGCTTCTAAGAACTCTAGCCTGCTCTACATAGATGATGAAGAAGAAAAGGTAAGATATAAAATATTTCAAATACTTTATTGATGGCTCCTTTCAGTCAATATTTTATTTGTAGAATTCATCCATTTTTTAACATAGTTATATAAAGTCATAATATTCTAATGATTGACTTACAATATTGTGTTATATTGTATACTAGTAATCACATTTGCATTTCATAGGGAACTGTCCTTCTATACTTGCTTGGTTTCCAAAATAAACTTTGATATTTAATTTTACCTTATATCAAGGAATAACTGCGCAGACTGATTACACAGGGAATAGAACCGTGTGATGACAGATCATGTCACAGGATGGAGCTGGCGGTCCCCCGAGCCCTGCTCCTGTGTCTTCATTCTCTCACCCCTTCTCCTCCCTCGCCACTTACCCACTGGGCTTACCTTTAATATTGTACCATCTGTTTTCTTGGTTTTGAACCTTATATAAATGAAATCATACAGTAAACATTTTTCTCCCTGTCTCTTTTCACTCTCATGTGCTATTGTTGCATATTATCTGTTTTGTATTTATCTGCAGTTTGTGAATTGTTACTGCTGAGATATGTGAATGTAATGTTTTAAAATCCATCTATCTCATGTCTTTCATTGGGAATATGAGTTTCATGCCCTCAGGGATGAATAGCCTTTCTGGTCCATTACTTTTAGTCATAAAATCCCCTTTGCTGGTCTCACATCCGAACCACCTACCCTGATATCTCTTAGGGAAAGGAGAAGCACTTGTTCTTGCTTTTGTTAGTAGGCATGCCTGGTGTTGCTGGGCAGGATTCCCTCTGCACGGCAGAGGAGGAATGGCTTCCTTGAACACCTCTATTGCTGGGTAGGGTATGAAAGCATCAGGCCTAAGTCACTTTCATTTGTGTTGGAATATAGATAACCTGTCCCTCTGTTTTTACCTAATCCTGGTATACCAAATTATTTCCCTTTTTCTCTCCATCTTTCAGGGTTCTCTTTGACTTATATTTTTCATTAGTTCCAGAATTCATAATTGCAGTCACCAGAAAAATGAGTCTGTGACACCTGCACCATTAGATTTTATCAACATAAAAACAGATCAGTTCAGGTCTTATCTGGTAAAGAATATGCAGAGCTCCAAAAATAATAATAATAATTTTTTAGTTTTAGGATCCTTTATTTTCTTTTTTAATTATATTTTATTGATTTATTTTATTTTTGCTTAGTTTTTCAGTTTCAGTTATGATAGATATATATTTATTGCCATTTTATTGTTCATAGTTTTGATTTTCTTTTTCCTAAATAAGTCCCTTTAACATCTCATATAATATTGGTTTAGTGAGGGTGAACTCTTTGAGTTTTCTCTTCTCTGGTAACCTATTTATCTGCCCTTCCATTGAAAATGGTAGCTTTACTGGCTAAAGCAATCTTGGCTGTAGGTGTCTGTTTTTCATGACTCTGAATATTTCTTGCCAATCCCTTCTAAATTTCAAAGGTTCTTTTGAGAAGTTTGCTGACAGTCTTATGGGTACTCCCCTGTAGGTAACTAACTGCTTTTCTCTTGCTGCTTTTGAGATCCTCTGTTGATATTTAACTTTTGGCATTTTAATATGATGTGTCTTGGACTGGGCCCCTTTTTATCTGTCAAAACTGGGACTCTGTGTGATTCCTGACCTTGCATGTCTATTTTCTTCACCAAATTAGGGAAGATTTATTTCATTATTTTTTCAAATAGATTTCTGATTGCTTGCTCTCTTTGCTTCCTTATATTCCTAATCATTGATTTGATTCTTGGCTTCATCCACTCAACTGTTGTTTCCCTATAAATTGTTTTTTATTTCAATTATGTATATTTCATTTCTGACTGGGTATTTTTTATGCTGTTGAGGACCTCACTAAGTTCTTTGTGCATTCTTATAACCAGTATTTTGAACTCTGCATCTGATAGATTGCTTATTTCTATTTTGTTTAGTTCTTTTCTGGAGTTTTGACCTGTTCTTTCATATGGGCCATGTTTCTGTGTCTCTCTATTTTGGCAGCCTCCTTGTGTTTGTTTCTATGTATTAGGTTGAGCTGCTTTGACTCCCTGTCTTGGTAGTGCAGCCTAATGTAGTAGGTGTCTTGTAGGGCCCAGTGGCTCAGACACCCCTATAGCCTAACTTGAGTGCTCAAGTTGTGCCCTTCACATGGACTGAGTTCACTCGTCTTTTACAACTGAGCCTTGGTGGCTGTAGGCTGGTCAATGAGAGAGATTTACCCAGGCCGGTCAGTTGCAAGATTGGCTATGACCACTGAACACCAACCTCCACCTTCTATGGAGTATCAGCTATGCAGGGGCAGGCTGGTGGTACTCCGATGTGGTCTGTAGCTGTCCATTGGGTGCACAGGTCTTGGGGTTTCCTGGGTGGTACAGGCCAAGGTCAGTCCCTACCTCTGCTCTGTCCGGGGCCACCTTGCCTGAGCTATAGAGCAATCTGAGGTGGCTGCTACCTGTGCTGGGTGTGGAGATTCCCATGCAAAGCGAAATTTGAATCTAGGCTGGCTGCTGTTAGTGCAGTGCCTGGAGCTACTTGGCAAGAGGTATGGGAAGGGGATGGACAGAGGGAGTTGGAAGCTCTCTCAGGCCAGCTGTTGTTTATTTAAAAGAATTTAAGAAGTTGTGAAGCAGAGCCAAGACCAGCCATTCATATGAAAAAGCCACTGTTAATAGTTGTAAGTTAGGTGGGACAAAGTTCAGATGATCTCCATGGCTGGACAAACATTAGCTAGGTTGATGGAGTCTCCGATATGGCACCCGCCTGCCAGCTAGGTGTCTCTCCCCACCTTTCTGCCTGGGAGAAAGCTGTCCCCCAGCTCTTGCCTTGATGCCAGACATTTCAGTCCTTCCTTGTATGCCCCTGGTGCCTTTCAAGCTGTTATCCCAGTACAGGAGCTTATGGGAGTGAGTCTGAGTAAGTTCATGTGTGGGTTCTTTAAGGTGAATTGCTTGGCACTCTGGAAGTTTCTCCACTGACTCAATTCCTGCTGGATTTTGCAGGCAGAAGTTATGGGGACTTATCTACCTGGCACTGGAACCCTAAGTGAGGGGTTTAAGACTCCTCACTCCTGAGGTATCCCTTACTGGTTTTTATCCACCACATGTGGATGTGGCACCAGTCTGTTCCGCATCTCCACCTCTCCTACAAGTCTGGATGGGTGTAGTTTCTTTAATTCCGTAGTGGTGAGATTTCTATTCAAGTTGATTTCTGATGGTTCTGAGTGACAGGTTCTCTGTAATTTAGTAGTAAATTTTATGTGATTGTGTGAGGAGGAAAGCCATATTTTCCTATGCCACCATCTTCCCCTTTATTTTCTTAATTATGATCTCTTTATTTTTTTTTAAAACCTGATCTCTGAGAAAGGGAAAAAAACTACATTAATTAAGTTATGGTATCAAATATATTATATAAGTGTTCAGAAACTTATTTAAAGCCTCTATGTTGGGTTTGTCAACATAACTAAAATATGTCTAACAGTTTTTCTTATTAACCTAAGGGGAATAATGAAACTATGATGAATAAATGTTTAAGAGTTAATTTTAAATCAAATGTACAAATGTTGCTGAAAATTTTTGACAGTAGAACATTGATTTTAATACATCTTTAATAAAATTCTTAATATATCTTTAGTTTTAGATTAGGATCCAATGCTTTGATCTTGTTCTCTAAATGAAGGATCCTATGAAACAATACACTATTTGTATCTTTAAAAAAATATAATCCAAAATTTCATAATGATTGCCTAAATAATTTATTTTTTCACTTTGTGGTAGGAATTCCTGAGCTCCATATCACCTACATCATGGGTTGGAGTTTCTCATGGGTCAACTCCCACACTAGAGTGAGTTTTGTTCTTCTCTTAGTACTATATAAAGAGAAAATATAAAAGAGAGCAATTTAGAAGAGTCTTATTAATAAATTTTTTAAATTGAATTCTAAGCATGATGTTCAAAATTAATGAAAAGTTGATATAAATATTAAGAAGGCCTAGGTTTCTTAATACCCATCTCTTACTATATTACATGTAACATATCTCTACCCATTTGTAAAATATTCTCTTATTACAGCTACATAGAAAATGCAATTTGTTGTTTCATGGATTGTCCTCATACAATGTAGGAACAAAATTATGCCTTTTTCTCCATTACAGGTCATCAGGTTCATCTTCTAGTAACTGTGTTTTTCTACACAGTAAAGGCTTCACATCAAGTAGTTGCAAATCTTCAAAAATGTATTTTTGCAAGCAAAAGTTTTAGTGTTAAAACACCTGAGTTTGGATTCTGCCTGGTAACTATTTTCCTGAAATGGAAATAATATTATTGCTTCAGTCTTCAAATGGATCATTTGTTCAAATAATGAAAAAAAGAACTCTCTAACCATTATTGGAAAAATAATATACACATCCAAAAGTACAAATATCATTTCTTTTAGTGTCTGGCATTTTTTGCTCGACATTGTATGTGTGGCATTCAACTTTTATAAAAGATCACATGTTGTGTGAGTCAATTTAAATGAAATATCAAGAATAGGCAAACCCACAGAGTTCTGAGGGTAAGTGGCAATAGGAAACGATTACTAATTTGTTCACTGCTCCTCTTAGGGGCTGAAAACTTTCCAAATTTTGATAGTGGTTTTGATAAGACTATGTGAATATAGTTAAAATCACTGATAAGCACACTCTAAATGCGTGAATTTTATTCTTTGTAAATTATACATTAGTAAGGCTTTTTTAAAAAAAGTACTTTGAGTTAGGTTTTGTATTGCATTTAAACCTTAATTTATAAAGATTAGGCATTTTACAATATTAACTCTTCCAATCAAATCATGTATCCTTCCATGTATTAGCTTTTCTTTAATTTGTTTATTATATTTGTAGATTTCCATATATTGAAGTCTTAAAGAAATATAACTATGAAAATTTCATAGTCATGACTGTGTAAATGGCATACTTATTAAAATTTTCTTTAGTAATTGTTGCTGCTTTAAATAGAAATACAAGTGA